AAGATTTTAACGTAGGTAATAAAATATGAAAAATATTTAAGATATTTATATTTTTAGTATGAACGCAAGAAATGGAGGTTCAACTGGAAGTGGATGGGTCTTACAAGGATCATCTCAAGCTATGGAGTCATTAGAGATAGTAATGCAAACTGGATTGCAGGTTACAACTACATAGTGGGCAGCTTCCCATTAGCTATCACGAAAATCATGAGTCTAATTCAAGGGCTGGTAATAACACTATGTCTCTTGGTCATTTAACAGTGAAGGCTTATATGGTTATGCAGATCAAGCGATACATCTAATTACTTGATAGGATCACGATCAACACTCTTACAAGGCATTATTGATTATGCTAGATTTATTTTTTATAGGAATAGCTTTGTTTTCCTAGATTTTATTTTTAGAAAAGTTAATCTGTGTTCATTTGCTTGCTCGTCTTGCTTGTGTTAACATTGACCATTTTCGTTCTTATGATCAACTCTGACTTCATTGCAAAGAGGAGGTGGATAAATGATGATAATAAAAGGAATTCTTTAGAGACTTAAATTGTACTCCTTTAATCCTATTTATAAGTTACTTCCAATATATTTCACCAATACCAAAGAAAATCTTAAAACTCATTAACTTTGTCTTAAAATTTAATAAATTCTCAACTTTACCCATATTTTAATATATACTTCAATAAAATATTTTCTCTCTCTAACATTCAATGGAGGGTAAAATAGAAAATTTGTGATGAAAATTTAATAACATGACTTATAAATAAGATCAAAGAAAATTTCTGTCTCTTCCCTATAAATAGTGTAACATCCTAAATTTCTTAATCCCGTGATTAGTGATTAATTAAGGGTAAAGCGATAATTAGTGTGGAATTAGAGATTTGGATGATTACTTAATAGATTGACTCATTGGAATGTTAAATGAACAGGTACAAGTGAGACGAGTGCGTTTCGGGTAGAAGTAAATGCGCATGGGAGAATAAATCTCATTGTGCCACACACTATGGCTTGTGCTGCATACGCCACAGTGCATGAATCAAAAAATGACTTCTTAAGTCATGAAATTTCAAAAATTTCAAAGGAGAGAATTTGATTACACCTTAAAGGAAGGAGAGAAGAAGGGCTGAGCAGCTAGGATAAGCCATTTCAAATCATTAGAAGGTGCTTCTGATCGATAACTTAGTAGGTAAGCTATGTATAACTCTTATCTTCCATTTTACACAAATTTCTCTGAAAATGAGTTATAGAAAAATTGAATCAATGAAATTTGAGGGGTTTGCTTCTTGCCCAATAGTAATAAAAAGATTCTCAAGAGTTAACTTAGAGCTTTGCAACTGGTTTAAAGCTGAACAATAAAGCTTTAAACCCATAGGCTCAATTTGGCCCTTAGAGAGAGAGAATTTAGGGCAAAAATATGATTTGAGTAAAATAAGACCGGTTGAGGTGATGTAAAGTAGTAATCAAGTAATAATGGACCTAAAATGGATAAACAAAAAAGATTTTATAGTTGAATATAGCCCTAAGTAGTAAATATGAGTTTTTGATCAAAATAGACTAAATGACTAAAATGTGCCAAATGTATTCAGATTAGCGTATTGGATGTGTGAGTAGAAAAAGAAAGCTTGTGATAAGTTATAGTAGTTGTTGAAATCCACAGTAACCTTTCTAGTGATAGAAGGGTTGAGGTAATCAAATATCTTTCTTTGTTTGACTGTTTATTATAACTATGTATGAGTATGCTATATAGTGCATAAAATTATTTTGAACTGGGCATGTTTTGTGGCATTTAACATTTATTGCATAAAAAGAGATTTTGGTAAAACGAATGATGAAATCTGTATAGTTTGCTAAAATATGTTTATGTACATGTATGAGAAAAGTGGTGATTGGGAACATTGAATGGTTTAAAAAGCATGATCATAGGGGTGGGAGTTCACCTGAGTGGTAAGGTGGTGATAAGACCATATGGCATATTTTTTTTAGTGCCCGACGGGATGCAATGTTGGAGAAATACCTCCTTAGTGCCTTATAAGGTGCGGTGTTGGAGGACATCTTCTCAGTGCCTATTGAGGTGTGATGTTTGAGATTTAAGACTTCTTAGTGTCTATGTGATACGGTATTGGAGTCAACAATACCCCATTGTGTGTATTAAGAGAAATCATAGTCTAAAAGTAAGATAGAACACTTTTGTTTGAGTGATTTTACTACTAAAGGTGAGCTCAGGGATAATGAGAGTGTACATTGGTCTAAAATGAACCTATAGTTTCATGTTAGGTTGATTTAGAGGTTCGATTGGTAGTGATCATGTTATGAAATGTTATGTGATGTTTGTGATAATAAAGTGGTGAAAAGTGGTGTGACGAGGTGTAATGTGAAACATGGATGTAATTTAAGTGGAACTTGCGATATATGCTATGTTAATGAGGTTTAAATGGTATATTGTACTTTACTTTCATATAGTTGCATGTGATAGTCATTAAAAGTAAGTTATTCTGTTACTGAGATTTTTATCTCACCCCCTAGTTACATGTTTTCAGAATTAGGCAATGATCAAAGCAAGGAAAGAGAGTTTAGACTGGCTTGAGTTATAAAAGCTGTGTAAACTTAAAGTTTGGGCAATAAACCAAGAACTTATGTATATATGAGTGTATATGAGTTGCCATAAGGTTGTATGCATGGCTTGAGTAGTGATTTTGTGGAATCCTAGCCAAACTATATGTATATGTGATGAAATGAATCAAGGGCTATGATTTGAGCATGTGTGTAAAAATGTGAGTGTATGTGTTTATGATGAGAAAAAGTCCAAGTGAGCTATGTTATGCCAAGTATAGGCAAATTACGTGAACTTGTGAAATGTGAAAATTGGCTGTAAAGGAGTCAAATTTTAATATATGTGTATGATTGTGATATAATATGGTCAATCAAGTGTATTAGGTCCTTTTGGACTTCATTCAAGGCCTTGTATAGTCTAATAAGAGAAAAAGGATCAATTTGAATATTTGGGTGTGTAAAATTTTTAGAAAAAATGATTTTTTACACCCAGGTATCTAAATTTTGATCAGACCATTAGATTATGTCCAAACCTATCTCATTAATTAGTTTATGAGTTAAGCTACGTGTGGGCATTTAAATCACTCCGATTTGATGTCATATGTGAAAACAGTGCTTGTCGAAAGTTAGTCATTTTTTTATGTCAAAATGACAGCAGAAATTCGAACAAGCACCCCGTGGCGCATGGTAACACATGCCACGGTGCATGACACAATAAGATTGAGCATGTGGCTTTGTGCCATATGCCACAGTGCATGTACTGCACGTCATGGTGCACGAACCAATTTCCAACCTAATATTGTGATTTTAAATGCATACAATTAAGATAGGAATGATAGTGAGTTATGTCTACTACGCATTATACAAATATGTAATTTGTTTTCGCTATATTCTCTGATGTATTATAATTTATAATGATTTTGTAAAACAACTCTTTGGCCAAAGCTTTTTGAACAAAATATTTAATTTGTGATTTGTGTGTTGATGTGGTAATTCTGTTAATCTTCTCCTATATCTGGAGGATATAGAAAGATGTTAAAAATAGGACCAGAGGGAGTACTCCTTTTTGACAAACAAAATATTTGATTTGTGATTTGTATGTTGATGTGGTAATTATGTTAATCTTCTCTTATATCTGAAGGATATAGTAGAAGGTTAAAAATAAGACCAGAGAGAGTACTCCTTTTTGACAACTTTTAATAATTATAAAAATATCTAACAATAAATTAGACTATCTAGATTAAATCTACATTATTCAAATTAATAATAAAATTTATTTATTAAAATTTTATAATTTTTATAATAAATATAAAATAAAAATATAAAAATATAATCTTAAAATCTAAACCATCCATATTTTCACTTGATGAGCACCAAAGCCATGAGTAATGTTATCCAGCTTATATTCAAAATAATTTATAATACATGTGCCTTATGGGATAATAAATTCTAAGATAAAATAGGTACATGATAATTACAAAATTGTTAAATTGTAAATAATAAGTTATGTTTATTTCTATCTTCTAAACACTACGAACATGCACCGAAAATTTAAAAAAATATATAATTATGTTTCCTTTATTTATTTTCCATATATTGTACAATTCTATTTTGCACTTTCTAAATACGATAATCTTTTAAAGTTATCAATTTACTATTTATTCTGACATTTTGCTCCTATGGAATTTTAATATCTCCAAGCAAAATCTAAAATTTTCAACTCCACTTATTTATCCTTTTCAAATGAATTCATTAAAACATTTTCATTGCCTCATTTTCTCTTTGTTCCTCTCAAATGCCCCGTGCATAAAATCTAGTTATCTTAAAATCAAAATTAAGAAATGACTTATTAGCTTGTTCCTCTGTTGATAAAGGGATGTGAAAAGAGAGGAAACATATTGGATAATCTTGTTTAGTGCTTGTCTGTGCATGTATAAAAGTATATAAGATCTGAGATCGAAATGTTGGTTAAAAGAAGAAGGAGAAATATATATATATATATATATATATATAAATTATCACATCTCATTATTTTTTACATTCTAGCAGTTTTCTCATCCAATCCAAATCAAAATAAATATAAAAGAAAAATGAATTTTTTTTATTTTTTTTTTTACATTAAGACAAATAACTTAATAATTATATACCACGCTGCATGTTTCTTTTCTTTTCATTTCTTTCTTTCCTTCTTTCTTTTTTAATAAACTTCCATGTTTCTTTTTTATTTTACGCGCAAACATCTTTCCAAAAAAATAAATAAATAAATAAAAGGTCGTTGACTCAATCAAATCTACTTTTAAGCATGCTACCCAATGAAGGAAAAAGAAAACGTTAACAATGTAAAGCCAATGCTTGCTTCACCCAATAATTTAAAAAAAAAAAAAAAAAGCCAACGCTAGATGGGGACATAATATCTTACTTCCCAAACTACCCTCACGAGCTTCCGTCCTCATGAGCGGTGCCTTTTCACTCTTTGAGCAATACTAGAGATTTGGGAAGATGTCGGGGGCATTTTGGAGATCACGAGCGAAAAGTAACTGCTACGTTTGCGCTTGCTCATTCTCAACGACTCTCACTTTGAATCTTAATTATTTTCTCTTGTATGAATTTTCAAACAGATCAAAGATTCAACAATATCGACGAGTGAACAGAGAAGTAGGCTATCCTCTACGAATTCAAAAAGGTATCGTTTCACGAATTTACTTTTCCTTGTACGCTTACATGTTGAAGATCGATCAACGACTTTGGCTTTTAATTCTTGACGATATATGTCCATGTTTGTTTCTTGCAATTCTAGAGTAATCTTCTCTTGTCTTCTGCTTGATTACAGAGAAAAATTTCGGGAAACGGTTGGACGACTGAGTGATTCTTGTTTGGTTACTGAGAAAATGCTGGAAATAAGACGAACAAATCTAGATATTCTGACAATAGATCAGTTTTCCAACGCCACGTGATTCCTGTTTTCCCGCCCGGCCGAATTTTTCAGTCTTTTCCAGAAAATAGATCAATTTTCCCAGCCGTTGACTTGTTTATTGAATTCTTCTTCCTACAAGATGGATTACGATTTTCTCAGAAGGAACCAGAGATCTAAGAGGGCTTGCTTGAAGCAGATATTACTGATGATATTGCTTCTGCTAACTGTTAGTGCCTGGTTGCTATACCAGATTCATCAGTCAGGAGATAATAGAACAGAAAGATTTGGTGGTGAAATCAAAATTTTTGAAGAATTTGGAATTGTATTGTTGGGGCGTAAAGTGATGATTCCATCTTCATGGTTGAATAATCAGATCCCTCTTGTAGTAGAAGCTGAAAATGAGATTAAGGATTCATTCAAAGAAAATTCTGGGAAGATACTGATACATGAGAAGTACCCAAATAATGATGTGCAGGTTAATGATGAGAAGGATGAAACAGATGGAATCTACAGGTTTCATGATGAAAATGGAGTTCCACCTGAAGTTAATGAAGCAGAGCATTATTATGGTAATAGTTCAGGTTTTAGTTTTAGGAAAGAAAGAGAGGTGAACAGTTCTGAAGCAGTCACATCTTCTGGAGATGATAATGATGTTCAAGTTGATTTTGGAAGTAAAACTCGTGCTGACACCTCAGGAATCAGTGATGGACTTACTTTCAGTTTTGTGAGATGATTATAGAACTGTTTCTCATGAATAAAAATATAATGAGCAAGTTGTCATATTTAATTAGACATGTTTTCTGTTCGTGCATGAAGGCCATTAATCATGTTATTCATAAATTGTAAATAACATTTACATTATTTTATTTTTTTAAGTGATTGACGAGATGATTGAGAGATGACTATAAAATATACAAAAAATATAAGTATATTCTATGAAGATTTGAAATGATCCAGATCAAAAGGAGCCACATTGGAAATAGATCAAACATAAGTATTATGTCTAGTCCATGATCTGGTCTTAATTCCATTTTCTATTCTTTTTCTTTATTATTTTTTCCAATAACATAGAACCAAGTTATTTTGTGTTTTTATTTATTTTTTGATTGGTGATGTTTTTGATAATTCATTGGTACTTTCTGATTAATTATGGAAATTTGTGCTAGTTTGGTTGGACAAATGATATACTTGATGATTGAAAAATTCTTAGTTAAACCTGATGTACCACATTATCTATGATCTATCCAATAAAATTATACTGATCTAATCAAATAAAATCTTACATATTTTTAATAATTTTATCAATTTTATCAATGTATCGTCTTAAATAGTGGCACCAAGCCAATGCAAAAATTGATGACTCTAGGCACAAATCGTTGTTCATTGAGCCATTTTTTAGCCTTATCTTCATGAGGTAACATGGCTTGACATTGGGCTCTATTCCAACCAAGTTTGATAAGTCATTTTCTAATATTATGGGCTTGGCATTGGGCTTGGTACATGTTAAGCCTAGCATGTCATTTTCTCATTTAATATTATGCTTGCATCCTAGCATCATCGACTTCTCTCCTCTAGGTTTCCCATATGAGTGTCAAATCTCTCTATCTATGAGAGTGGTTACTCGTTGATGCCTCTTCCTTCAGCAACTGCCAAGGGAGAGGAAGTTCTTAATCTATGAAGGGTAGAGTCAAACAAGGGAGAAAATAACTTAAAGAGAGTGGAGTCGGTGAAGGAATTGTAGAAGGTGGGTGAACCTCCTTTCAACTATTTCTTAGTAATTCATTTGTCTTCATCATCATTGTAACATCTTGATTTTCTAATCCCACAATTAGCTATTAATGAGGGGTAAATTAGTAATTAGTAAATGATGGAGAGTTTGGATAGTTATTTGATAATTTGCTTCTTTGGGATATTGAATGAATAGGTATGGGTGAAAGAACCACATTTTAGGGCGAAGCATGTGTGCGCAATGAGAACTCTCCTCATTGTGCCGCACGCCACGATACAAGGCTACCCATGCTACAGCACATGGCACAGAAAATGACTTAATAATTCGTGAATTAGTAGTTGGTTCATAAGGGAAAATCAGAGAAAAGCAAGGGAGGAGAGAAGGAGAGGTCTTTAGCTACTAGGGCAAGAGTTCTTAGGGCATTAGAAGACATCTTTGATCATTAACTTATCGGATAAGCTTCATACAACCCTTACCTCTAATTCTACTATAATTTCTCTTGGTATGAGTTATAGAAAAATTGAATCGGTGAAATTTAAGAGATTTGTTTCTTACCTATTAGTAATGAAAAAGTTCTCAAAAGTTAAATTAAAGCTTTGTGATTGATTTAGAGTTAATCAATAGAGCTTGGAACCCGTAAGCTCAATTTAGCCTTAACTAAGAGAAAATTAGGGTGAAAATCATGTTTAAGCAAAATGGGATTATTGAAGGCATTGGAAACTGGTAATTGAATGGTAATGAACATAGAATGGCTAAGTGGAAAGGAATGAATGGATGGATGTAGCTTTAAGTAGTAATTATGTGCTTTTGGTCAATTTAAACCAATTGATTAATCGTGCCAATTATGTGTAGATTGCTGATAAGTCACATTTATTATATTTAATTAAAAAATTGATTAAGGACTTGTACAAAATTATATAAGGACTTGGTTAATTGAATTGGTTAGGAAGACACACTTATACAAAATTGTGTAAGGGTTTAATTTGATCAAGACAGTAGAAATTAACTTAAGCCTGATTAAAAAGGATAGACAAGGAATCTAGCATCCCACAACTCTTAGAATGTACATACCTTCTCAAATTCATTTCAATCGATACTCACAGGAGAAGCCTTATCTTTAAAAAGTGCGGACGCATTCAGTGATAGAGCAGAGGACTGAATGCTTTTGTGGAGTGGCTGGTGAAACGCAAGCAAGTCATGCGTAAGGTGGATTGATGCTCTAAAGCTAAAAAGGTAATTGACCTAAGGCATGCATGCATATTCTTTCACAATTCTGCTACTTTATTAGTTCATAACACAACGCACATAGTTATATCAAAATACTTATAAACAATTTCACAAACAAACAAGTAAAAGGATTGCTCGACTTACCTTTAACCCTTGCTACTAAGGGTTACCAACCACGCCAAGCTCTCAAGGGTGCAAATTCTCACGAGTAACTTCACAAGTGCTCAATCTATATAATACAATATTCCTCAGTCAATTCTCATTACTTAACATAGGCATTGATTCGGCTAAACTGTATCCCTTAACACATGAAACAATTCAATTAAACCCTTTTAAATTTACTTATCCATTATTTATAGTCATTAGCCTTATAGGCTACTCAAAAAACCATAACAATCTCCTAACACATTATTCAACCAAAATTTTACCATTTAACCTAACTTTTTTGGTTATTTTGAGCCTAAATCTTTAAAACTTAACCATTCAACTCCATACTAGTCATAAAACTATAGTTCTGTATTCAATAGCCTGTTTTAATTCTTTCTTTTAGATTACAACACTTTAGAACTTCATGATTCCATTTCTCAATCGATAAAATTCAACAAAAATGGGGTAGAAATGAAGCTTAGGGTTGCACGTTACTTAGTCGACAAGTTACTAATCGAAGCAGACTCTAAATCTTTAGATAATGTAAGCCCTAGCAAATCCAAAGCTTCCTTACCTCTCACACACGTTTTCCCTTCCTTCTCTTTCTGTTATCATGATCTAACTTAGTCTTTAAATAAAAATTCTGCATCATGTGCTATAGCGTGTGGCACAATAAGAAAATTATCACTTGTGCTCATGTGTTAAGCCTCGAATTTTTGTTCTACCCTTTAATCCTATCAATACAACATCTAAAAAACACAAAACACTAACTCAACACCCAAACCATAATTAATTTGCTAATTACTAATTTACCCCTAATTAGTAACTAGTTTCTGGGATTGAAATCAGGATGTTACAATCATTGACAAATACTACCACAAACTTGTCCAGATATGGCTGAAAGATTTAGTTCATGCAATCCATGAATACTATTAGAGCATTGGTCAACCTAAATGATATTACCAAAAATCCATAATGGCCATATCGTGTCCCAAATGTGACCTTTGTAGCATCCTCAAATTTCACTCTCAACTGATGGTAGCCTGATCTCAAGTCAATCTTAAAAAACACCTTCACCTTAACAAATTGATCTAACAAATCATCGATCATTGGGAGGGCTACTTGTTTCTAGTGGTGACTTTATTCAACTGTCGATAGTTAATGCATAAACACATACTTCAATCGTTATTTTTCATAAAGAGAACAAGTAAACCCATATAGCAATACACTCAATCTGATGAAATCCTTATCCAAAAGGTCTTCTAGTTTCTTATTTAATTCAACAAGCTCTGCAGGTGCCATTCGGTAAGGAGCCTTAGATATTGGTTTATTTCCTAGCACCAACTCTACAGAGAACTCGACTTCCCTCTTTGATGATAAACCTATAACTTCCTCTAGGGACACTTTAGGATACTCCTTGACTACCTTAATCTCTGGCAACTTTGATTTTGAAGTGGTCTCAAGCAAACATAGAACTATGAAGATGTCACATCCTTATCTCATGTACTTCTCAGCTTGTACCATGGATGGGAATTTCAGAGGCATTTTAGTAGAAGGTATACTAGCCTGAAACTTTGGCAAGGATATGATCTTGCTCCTACAATCAAGTATGGCATAATGTGCAAACAATCAATTCATACCAATAATGATATCAATCCTTTCCACAAGTCAGACTAGGTTGACACTCAATTCAATTAGCAAATTGCAACTTCACATCCAAACAAGCACAGGTAGTCATGAGGGTCACTCCCATTAGTGTAAAAACACACACATCATATGATAATAATTTTACACACAAGCACAACCTAGGATTATTATAGGAGATGCACTCACCTCCTCTTGTGTTACTACAAAGAATTTACCTGAAACTATAGTTCTCTACTCTCTAGTATTTGCTCTGGTTGAACAATCTTTGACCACATGACCCTACTGGCTATACTTGTAACACATCCAATATTTGCCTCTATGCTTCTTCCCATACTTCACACATTTCTTGCTACCAAGGGCCCTAAAAGAACTCATGATTGATATGGGAGTCAAGGATCCCTATAGTACTAGCAGATGACTAACTAAAGGCCTCAAAGTCTCACTCCTCTAGGTTGGACCTCTAAAGAAAGGTCTCTTCTAGAACTCATTTCTCCTTTAAGAGAAAGATGAACTACAATTTTTTATGAAATGGCTTCTTACTGATAAGAATACTTCCCTGATATCTTTCCTTTCTTTACTTGCTTAGACTCCTTTATGCAACGAGCCAAGGAACACAATTGTCGCAAATCTTATCGTAAGATTAAATTTAGAGAGGGTTAAAGTAGAAATGGTACTTAGGCCTTACCTTCTATAGTAATTTGGTGGCCTTCCATTGATTGTTGCTGTTGTCGTCTTAGAGGTAAGACACAAATTCTGCCAACTCATTAAACTTCCTGTTAGAAATTATGCCCTAGATTCAATCATTGTACTATGAACATTGTTATTTAATGAATTTTTCTTTTATTATCATATTAATTACATGTTCTTTGCTATAACTATACCCTTGAACAAATTATAGTGATTGTCCCAAATGTCCCTAATCAATCATTTATAAGGGATCATAAATGAAACAAGATTAGTATGAATTTAATTAATTATAGAGATATAAATTGAAATTATAAGCATTTGAAAGGGTACAAGGTGATGGAATGACCTATTATGAGAAAGTTTTATGGTACAAGTCATAAGCTTATATGATATGAAACTATGTCACTAAACCCTTTAACTTGAGATCATCATGAATTCTTTCAT